CCCCTCTGGATTGTTGTAGATAAGTGTTTGCTGTAATTTGTTCACATTATTTTCATGTTTCTCACTTGCTTGAATGTGTTGGGGTGGGTGTGGTTGGCGGGTGCTCTGTTGTAGATTGCTCCTTCTTTCCTATCAAACATCTACCGTCCCTATCTCTGCTCCTCCTTTTCTGTGTGTGCTACTCTCTAGTAACGCCTCTAATCCCCGGCACTTGCACGACCTATCTGTGCTGGGAGTGCCGTAAAATCGTGGCTCAGACTGACCCTTCAGTTATGTGTTGACACGCAGGAGGAGGCGGATACTCTGTTGCCGCGGGCCGGTAAGAAGGTCTCCGTAGGTGTGGCCTTCAAGGTAATACGCTTACATAGCCCCGCCCACACACACGCTGGACACGCTTCTATCGCCTATAGCCCCGCCCACATATACACTGACACGCCTCTTTTGCCCGCAGCCCCGCCCACATATACATTGGACACGCCTCTATTGCCCATAGGCCCTCCACACGGACACTGGACACGCCTCTATGGCCCACAGCCCCGCCCCCACACACACTGGACATTCCTCTATAGGCTATAGCCTATAGCCCAGCCCACACCCACACTGGACTCGCCTCTATCGCCCATAGCCCTCGCCCACACACACTGGACACGCCTCTATAGCCCAAAGCCCCGCCCACATACACACTGGACACGCCTCTATAGCTTATAGCCCCGCCCACACGCACACTGGACACGCCTCTAGAGCCCATAATCCCACCCGCACACGCATGTAGCGAGTAGACTCAGCTTTGACATAACTACTGGAGATTTGGCTGTGTACAATTGTGAATCTTGGCTGTGGGTCATTAGCCGGCTTTTCTCTGCGTTTTAGTGTGAGTGCGCTGTTTGTGTGTGTGTGTGTGTGTGTGTGTGTGTGTGTGTGTGTGTGGGCGTGCGTGTGTGCGTGTGTTTGCCTGTATTTGTGTGTGCGCGTGTGTTTGTGTGTTTGTTGTTTGTGTGTGCGTGCATGTGTGAGTACGTGTCGTGTTTACCTGTATTTGTGTGAGCGCGTGTGTTTATGTGTGCGTTGTTTGTGTGCGCGTGTGTGTAGCGGTATATGGATAGGTGTGAGCAAAATTTGAGGCTTTTCCGCTCTTTGCTATGACCTTGACATTGTGCTTGTCAAGCAGGTGTTGTGCTAACTTTATTTGCGTACTTTGAACTTGTGCTGTGACCTTGTACTGTGACCTTGTACTTTGACCTCGTACTTAGACCTTGTGATTTGGCCTTGTATTCCCCGGGTGTGGTGCCAATGCTTTAGACGTTGTGTTTGTGTGTTGTCCTGTGGGTGGACTTTGAAAACTTTCTCCCTACTCCTTTGTTCTCTCTCCTGTGGAGTTTTAAAACTTTCTCCCTACTCCTTCTTCCTCTCTCCTGTAGAGTTTGAGGTCTGTCTTTCTCTCTCCTTCAGTCTCTCTCCTGTTGAGTTTGAGGTCTATCTTTCTCTCTCCTTCTGTCTCTCCCCTGTGGAATTTGAAGCGTACTGAGCCCGCCCATGATTTGTACTACTGTGCTATTTTACTTTCGGTATTCCCAATGCTTGCTTGCGTTTGATCAGTGTGTCCCTATTGTACTCGCTTTGTTTTATTCTTTCTCTTCATCAACAGTGACTGACCTTGCTTATGCTATATCAATATTTTATCCGGGTGTCTATTCTCTCAAATCCCATATTTTGATGACGTCACACACCCATTTCCAGTCTACTGTAGAACGTTGCGCTCATTTGCCTGTGCTGCTTCCGTTTATTAACGTGTTGTTTGCTTCATCCATGTCTGTCTTCTGTGCTGTGTTATTATGGTAGACAGGAATAGAGCGGCGATATCATGTAGACACACAGTGAGGGCATTCATCGTTAGTCTATGTATGCATCTTAACCCATGCCTGTGTCTGTGTGTTCCTCATAATGGGGACATTTATCGTTAGTCTATGTATGCGTCCAAAACATTGATTGTTGAGCAGAGAAAGTCTGATTCCCTGTAAGGACTTTTTTGTTGACTTCCACCCCTTGGCGCTCATATGACCTTATGCAGTTGCGGGCGCCGTAAAACCTTTACTAAAACTAACTTCCATTAATTGTGTCAGTGTGTTCCACAAATACATTCATTGTTAGTCTACGTATGCGTCCAAACCTGGCCAGCTTGTCCTGGCACTATGTAGGCGTGGCCCTGTCAGGATGCTTCTGTTTACTCTCGGCTTCTGTGTGGCTGATCTTGTGGTGATGGTTGTAGCTGTAGGTAGATCTAATGTGAAGTTTTGTTGATGGTAGATGTTGGTAGATCTAAAGTAATGTTTTGTTGATGGTAGATGTTGGTAGATCTAAAGTAATGTTTGATGGTTGTAGCTGTAGGTAGATCTAAAGTAATGTTTTGATGATGGTTGTAACTGTAGGTTGGTCTAAAGTAATGTTTTGATGATGGTAGATGTTGGTTGATCTAAAGTAATGTTTTGATGATGGTTGTAACTGTAGGTAGATCTAATGTGATGTTTTGTTGATGGTAGATGTAGGTAGATCTAAAGTAATGTTTTATTGATGGTAGATGTTGGTAGATCTAAAGTAATGTTTTGATGAAGGTTGTAACTGTAGGTAGATCTAAAGTAATTGTTTTGCTGATGATAGATGTTGGTAGATCTGAAGTAATGTTTTAATGATGGTTGTAACTGTAGGTAGATCTAAAGTAATGTTTTGTTGATGGTAAATGTAGGTAGATCTAAAGTAATGTTTTGATGATGGTAACTGTAGGTAGATCTAAAGTAATGTTTTGTTGATGGTAGCTGTTGGTAGATCTAACGTAATGTTTTGATGATGGTAACTGTAGGTAGATCTAAAGTAATGTTTTGATAACGATTGTAGCTGTCAGTTATCCGGTGCCTTGCCGACTGGCGTGGGCGATCATGGACCTCCACTTCACTCTGTCTTGCGTTGCAGCAATGGTGTCTGTTGTTCTTGCTGCTCCCAACCATTTTGTCAACTTGTCCAGTATCTTTTCCCTCTGTCTGCTTCTGCCTCTCTTTCCATCAAACTTGCCTGTTACAATATTCTCCAATGCTTCTTTCCACATTGTGTGTTCAATGAAATTTGCCTGTTGCATTCGTATGCTCGTCATAAGCTGTCGTCTGCAATTTGCTTCAACAAAGACTTCTTCATTGGTTGTAGCTGTAGGTCGATCTTAAGTAATGTTGTGATGTTTTGACCAAACGGCACACAGGCTTCATAGGACTTGCTGATGTGTTCACGTGTGAGTTTCTGTCTGTGTGTGTATCAATTACCCTGACGTGTTTGTGTCTTTATTTGTGTTTTTGTATGTTTACTTGTGTTTTTGTGTGTTTACTTGTGTGTTTGTGTGTGTGTTTACTTGTGTGTTTGTGTTTGTGTGTGTGTGTGTGTGTGTGTGTGTGTGTGTTTGTACAGGAGCGGTTGTTACTCCAGAGCTGGGACTGGGAGAGCAGGACCAACTGCCGGAAGACCTGTTTGTGTGTTTATTTGTGTGTTTGTGTGTTTATTTGTGTGTTTACTTGTGTGTTTACTTGTGTGTTGGTGTGTTTACTTGTATGTCTGTGTGTTTACTTGTGTGTTTGTGTGTGTGTGTACAGGAGCGGATGTTACGTCTGGAGCTGGGACTGGGAGAGCAGGACCAACTGCCGGAGGACCTGTTCGAGGAAGAGGACAAGGGAGACAAGATCTCCTTCTCCTACTCCGACTACCTGAGCGAGCTGAGGGAGCAGGTGACAGTTGAGCCGGGCCTTCTGGAGTCTAGTTCCTTCTACAACCTCATGGTGAGTGAGAGTGTGAGGGTGAGAGGGAGAAAGAAAGAAAAAAAGAGAGAGAGAGAGAGAGAGAGAGAGAGAGAGAGAGAGAGAGAGAGAGAGAGAAAGAGAGATGGAGAGAGGGGTGGGGGTGGGGGAGAGAAAGAGAAGATTGTGCAAGAATGTGTGTACGATTCTGGGTTTGTATTGTACAGGCTATTTTACAGACTCACAAAATTAACAGCCCATACGTTACAGCTGTTGGTGAGTGAACAGAGAAGCACATCAACAAAATAATGGTCATTAGGGGCTGGGGAAAAGTAAGATACAGACAGAAACAACAGAGGGAAAGTAATGAAGTAGGACATACCAGTGGCGTCCTCCGACCACCCACTAATAAGAGCAATGTAAGAACTCGACAGTAACTTCCTGTAACGTAACGTTGCCTTTCCATTAACTCCCCTAATCTCAGCGCTTGTCCCTCCAGGGATTTACCCAGTGGTTAGTTTATCTTACGCTGGGGATGTTTTGGTTCCTGTCTAGCTAATGACGAACATTTTGGCGATGCGTCGTCAGTCATGGTCAGACTTGATCATGTTATTACTGCGTCATCATAATATATATCTACTACAGCCAGTGCTGCCTCAAGGATTTATCCATGGTACCATAGCTAACTATTGCGTTGCTGTCATTGTCATTGTGTAGAGAACATAAAGGTGATATATTATATATATCTAGTCTTCGTTGGTTCTGGAGTTCTGTGCTCTGACTCAGCTCTTTTCATCTGAAGTCTTTGTGTAAACCTCTGAAACTCTCTGGTTCAACACCCC